TACACTGTAAAAAAAATGTGTAAAATTTCACATATAATGAGTGTAACGATTACATTATTAATAATGGAAATGTATAAATTCACGTTCTTTTACAAAAGTGAGTATTTTTACTCTGTGTTATGTGAATAATTCTTTATATTTGACGAAAAATTACAAGATTAAAAGTATAATTCATAGATTGTATGTAAATATACAATTTTTTTTGTAACAATACATAGTATACGATAATATTACATAGCATATGATAATTTCACACATCATAACTACATTTTTACGTAAATTTACGTAAGTTTACTTAAGTTTATATTGTAAAAATAAACAAAAATTATTTAATTTACAATTACTCGTTATTAAATATAGAGAACTCGTTTAGCATTAATTTCATGTTTGCACCATTAATTTTTAATTAACTCGTATAGTTAGATAATTTGACATTTGCGATAAGATATTTTTTTGTATATATATTTATGCATTATTATATACATAATAATATGTATGTAATTTAATGTACGTATTGTTGCATTTAGCAGAACTGCTGAATTGCCATCTTTTTAACAATCGATATTAATGTATTAAATAAACAAAACTTGGGTATGTTCCGATGCCTGCGCCGAGCGCACACGTACGAGGCTTTTTCCTTGTGTGTGTGGTGGCAGAGTCTCGAAAGTCTCGAAACCAGCTCTGCCGGCGTCTGGCGTCTGGCGTTCTTCACATATCACGTGACACGTAAGTGCGTGATACTGCCTCACTGCGTGCGATCACGTGCGATGAGCCGGCACAGATAGGTTCGTGTTCGTGGTTCGTGTAAGTAACAAATGTGCAAGAGTAACATGCTGTCTCTCATTTCATAAAAACACAATTGTGTTAATAACGGAAAACTGAAATAACTTTAAATTTTTACGAAATGAGAGACCACGTTACTGTGTTTCGGTAAGTGATACCGTGTATCTCGCCGTAACTGCGTATCTGATATCACTTATCGAAATTCTAGAGAACGAAAGGAAAGTGTGAAGAAAATATAAGGAAAGAAAGTGAAGGGACAAAACGTCTACTGAAGAAAATATAAGAAAGAAAAGTGAAGAGAACAAAACGTCTAGTGAAGAAAACATACATTTTTTATATTGATAGCCAGAAATAAAAAGGAAATCCAGAGAGCTTCAAAAGAAAAGTAAGTTTTTTATTTATGTAAAAATAATTTATATATTAGATGATAATCAAACATTATATATGACATATAACGTACATTATAAATAAACATATATACACTATATTACTCAGACATCTATAAAGAAAACTTTGCAAAATTACATAAATAATAAGTGTAAAATTATACAACAAATAATGAAAATGTTTCATTATTTATTGTGTAATTGTACACTTATTATTTATGTAATTCTGCAAAGTTTTCTTTATAGATGTCTGAGTAATATGTACATTTATTTATAATGTACATTATATGTGATATATAATGTTTCACTATCATCTAGTACATCATAAATTGTTAACAATATTTATGGAGATATAATTATATTTATATAAATAAAATTTTGCAAAATATAAAAACCAACACATACATTTTTATGTAGTGAATGTGTGTATATATACGATTTAATGAATTCTGTCACAACATTCTTATTCGTGATTAATAATATCCGCAAATGTTATTAACAATTTATTATATACTGCTGATAGTAAAATGTTTATAATTATAATTACATGTATAAGTATATGTATCTATAATTCTATTATATAATTTCTTTATTCACACTGCTCTATTTATAAAAATATTAGAAATAGAAAAAATTTAATTTGTGTATTAACACAATATAAATTCATAAATGCTTATATAAATGTAAAACTGACATTTATAAAATTTTATTTTTGTTTTTGTAATTGTGTTACAGTATACTCTTTGGATTAAATACAAGAATCTTGTTTTCCTTTTCCTTTTGATACAATTTTATCGTTTCTATCGTTCTTGTGACTTAGACTAATTTTTCTATAAAAAATGCTAAAATGTCAAATGTGTAATTCCACGTTTCCTTCTATTATTTTGTATAACAAGCATCAGGCTTTTCATAAAAACATGCCTTATGTACAAATAACTTGTTTATTTAAAGATTGTGGACGACAGTTTAACAGATACTTTAACTTTAAAAAACATATTCTTAGATGGCATACTACAGATTGCAATGAACAAAGAAGTGTAATTTATCGCTGTAAAGAAAAAGATTGTAATGTCTGTTTCACAGATAGAAAAGATTTTAATAGACATCTATATCACCACATAAGACAAAGTAAAATTGGTATATATTGTGGGTACCCAGCTTGTTTTGATAAAACACTTTTTAAAACAATCAGTAATTATGCAGTACATATATGTAGACATCACTCAAATATTTTGTGTACGCAATATATTTCAGATAATACTCATAAGGAATTAAATTGTCGCCTAATTGATACTAGTGATAATTCTATTGATACTAATGATAATAGTGTTGCTGTTTTAGAAGAAGATTTCAATTCAATCATTTCATTTTCAATCAGTTTTCTAATCATATGGTAAATTATGTAAGACCTATTTCACAATTGTATTTAAATTTAATTACAAAACATTTTTTGACAGAACATACTTTGCAATCTATAATAGATGCGACATCATCTATAATTGATCTTTCTCAGCAACACTTTATCACTACTTTAACTGATAGTGATTTACAAAATGATATTAAAAAAAGAATCAAAGATATTTTCCAAAGTAGCCATGGTTCTTTTGCAAACATGTTTAGTTCTATAAATGGTTATCTTAGAAATACTTACTCAAGAAATAAGTATTTTCAAAAACATTTTCATATTGTAATGCCCGTAAAAATAAATTTAGGATTTGATAACGTTCACAAAGAGTGCTATTATCATTACGTTCCAGTTTTGAAAACTTTAGAAATGTATTAACTAATCCCAATATCCGACAGTTCTGCTTCAATTCTTATAATAATTCTTATAATGATAATGTGTTATCTGATATACAAAGTGGTAATGTAATAAAAAATAATAATTTTTTTCACGGAAATAAAAATATGTTACAAATTATATTGTATCAAGATGCATTTGAAGTATGTAATCCGCTAGGTGCTTCAAAAAAAAAGTTTAAACTCGTCGGTCTATATATGATCCTTGCAAATTTACCTGCTTATCTGAAGTCAAAAGTTGAACATATACAACTTGTTTTTCTATGTTATGAAAAATATATCACGTTCTTTGGATGGGAAAAAGTAATCCAACCCTTAATAAATGATTTACGAAATTTAGAAGAAAATGGAATAGTTATTTCTGTTGCAAATGA